TGACATCACAGAACCCAACACGGGGCTCAAACCCATGAACTGTGAGATCACGACCTGAGCCAAAGTCGGACACTCAACCGACTGAGCCACCCAGGTGCCCCATAAAAGGGACACTTTGATCACCAAGCACACCTGCCACACAAGGGCTGTTGCCACAGAAAGAGAAAGCTCCAGGTAAAGCAACAGTTTACAGTGTCTTTTGGTGATAAACAAAAAGCATCTAAAAAGTTCAAAGCAGTACAAGAGGCACCTCAAGGCAACAGGCACAAATTTTGAAGAGGAATGGCCTGAGTGTATGTGTCTGTGTGTCTGAAATCAAAGTAAGCAGAATCTCAAAAAAAGTCTCCCCCACCCCAGACCACAGAAATACTGTTCATGCGAACGTGAGTCATGCTGAAAGCAGAAAGTTCCCGACGCATCACCCCCCCCCCACCAGGCTCCTGCCACGAGGGGCACCCTAAACACTCTGAGAACTGTCTCGGGCACACTCAAGGGTGGATCAAGGGTCTCTGGTGCCAGCAGACCAGAGCCAAAGTGCAAGGAGGAGAGATAACATCTGCCTCAAATGGAAATATGTGGTAAGAACTTTAAATACACACATGTTCTGCGCATAACCACAACCCCAATCTGGTATTCCCAACTTGCAATACTCAGAATCTGCTACACCCTGCGGCAGTCCATCGGGGTCTGAACGTCCTACTGAGACGGGCAGACCACACATGGTGGCCGTGGCTTTGGGCCGGGACGCATCACTGCCGTCTGTGCAGGGCAGGCCAGGCAGGCAGGCAGGCTGGGCTGGTTGAAAACCACTTAGACTATCAAATGCTTGCCACACACAGGGACCGCCATAGAACGACGAGCAAGAGGTGCTGTAACGGTAGACCCCACTGATTACAGCGAGCAGTGAGGGGCAGGCCCTGCATGAGAAGGAACAAGACTCACCGAGGCTTGACAGCTTTGGTCTGCGGAGTCCTTACAGAGGGAGCAGGTGGTGTAGGTTCAGACTTGGGCTCTCGGTCAGCTTCCGGTTCTGTGATCTGCACGTCCTCAAAGGGATTCAGGGATTTACCACGTCTGGAGACAACAGCCGTAGTATCCTTCTCGGATCTTTCTACTAGGTCTCCGTCAGGCCCCGCCTGGTCCCCCCTCGGTGTGACTTCCATAAGCGTGCCTTCCTTCTCCTTTCCTGGGACCGTAGGGGGGCTTCCGCCTTCACTGCCCTTAGCCACATCCTTCTTTCCTGTCACCAGAGACAGCAAAGAGGACTTCTTGTTCTCCTGCTTCTTGCTCTCCTTGGTTTCTTTTGCCACCTCCAAGCTCACTGGAGCCGTGTTCTCCTGAATGTCCCCACTGATCTGTGGCCGGTAGGATGGCAGAGACATAGATTTCAGAGAGTCTTTTGTGGAAGACTCAGAGAACTGTCTGTCGGAAGACACCACCCCAACGTCACCAGGCTCCTTCCAGGACCGAGTGGCCAGGTTTTCGGTGGAGGAGAACAAATGCTTCTTCCTGAAGCCCTGGGGGGACGGGGAAGAAGAAGGGGTGCTGTCCTTGGTCTCGCTCTTGGCTTCTGGCTGCTCCACATAAACATGGTTCCCGTTGATACAGACATTAGAGCGAGAAAGGAAGTCATTCTTAGACCGAAGGCCACCAAGAAAGGGGAGTCCTCCTTCCTTCTTGGGAAGGTTGAAATTGATCTGGTTCAGTTGCTTAGGATGTGCACTCTCTGTTCTCTTGGGAGACAGGACTATGGGAAGAAAAGCAAAGATCCAAAGGAAACAAGATGTTAAACGAATGGTTCACAACTGGAAGGGGGTCCGTCTCTCCACGTCTGAATACATTTTTGGTAAACCGCCATTGGGTGTGTTATTGGCATCTAGCAGGTAGAGGTCAGGGTTGCTGCTAAAGATCCTACAGCACAGGGGGCAGACCCACAACAAAGAATTATCTGGCCCAAACAACCAATAGTGCTGGGATTGAGAAGCCCTGCATTAAACCAATGCGAAGGGCAGAATCTGGCCAACAGCAACCTGCATTTGGTCATTGAAATTGAAGTTCAAAACACACATTTAATTCACAGTTAAAGGAACTGAATTCCTCAACTTTCATTAAGGATGTAGCCCATGAAGGTTACGCACATCAATAGGACCTCAATAAATACCTGATGAATAAATGAAATATCAGAATTACTCTAAGGTTGCATGATTTTACCCTTAACTAGAAAAAAAAAAAAAAAAACCCAGATACATACATTTCGTTAATTCCAAAAGCTTATATTAATGTCCATCAGTTACAGAGCCAGATGTTTTAGAAAAGAATTTATGCATTCTTAGAAACCAGAGTGCTTAGAAATAGAGAAGCCTTTCTTTTTATTTATTTATTTATTTATTCATTCATTCATTCATTCATTCATTTCATTTATTTATTTTGAGAGAGAAAGAGGGCGTGCATGCATGAACAAGCAGGGGAGAAGCAGAGACAGAGGAAGAGAGAGAGAATCCCAAGCAGGCTCTGCACTGTCAGCACAGAGCCCAATGCGGGACTCAATCCCACAATCCATGAGATTATAACCGTGAGCCGAAATGAAGAGTCAGACACTTAACTGACTAAACCACCCAAGCGGCCCGAGAAGCCTTTCTAACCAAGATCATCCATCATCATGACCATCATCACCATTTTAGTAACTGAGGAACTGAATTAAAATCTTTCTCTTAAGATTTGTTTCTTCTCTCTTTTTTTTTTTTTAAAGTTTATTTACTTTGAGAGAGAGAGAGAGAGAGCGAGTGAGGTGAGCAGGATCAGGGCAGAAAGAGAGAGGGAAACAGAGAATCCCACGCAGGCTCCATGCTGTCAGCACAGAGCCCGATGCGGGGCTCGATCCCAGGAACCGTGAGATCATGACCTGAGGCAAAGTCAAGAGCCAGATGCTGAACTGACTGAGCCACCCAGACACCACATTGTTTCTTCTCTCTTAAAGCAAAGTAGACTGAGAGACAGAGAGAGAGAGAGAGAGAGCGCCAAGTAAGGAGGAGGAGAAAACTCACCATCAGAGGCAGAGGAGGACTCATCCTCATTTTCATCATCCTCCCACCGGGACTGAAAGCCTCCAGGACGAAGCAGCACTTTGTCTGACTTTGAAGTAGGCAGGACAGACATGGACTGGGAAAGTGGTGTTTTCTGCAAATTTGACTTGGAAAACAAGGTCTTGATCTTCGACTTCTTTTTCTTGTCTTTTGAAGTAGACTCATCATCGCTGTCGGCGGAGGGTGTGACACTGGGAATGACGGCTGAAGCAGTATCGGACGCGCTATCCTTATGCTTCCCCTTGATCTTGTCCTTCAGCTTCCCAAATGGATTCCGAGACTTGTCTTTCATGGAAAGGTCAAACATGCTGGCGGTCATGTTGTTTCTCATAAACTGGATGTCAACCTCAATTTCACCTCGCTCTTTATCCTTCTTTCCTGGTTTGGATTTCAAGGTATACCACCTACAAGGAGAAAGGCTGAGAGGTTACCTTTGAATTGGGCCTAAAACAATGTTCACAATGTCCATTAACTTGGCCTCTCTTCTTCTCTGCTACTACCAACCTCTTAGATAAATGCATTCTTGGGCTCTCTTCTTTGGAGAGTAGAGGGTGGGGTGGGGAATGAAGGCAGAACCTGTAGTTTTATTTTTGAGAAGACACCCCGTAGGCAAAGATAGGATCTGATTCTGTACTGAACGTACAGTCACTTAAAATCTTTATTCGATAAGCTATTTCTAAAAATAAAATAAATATAACAAACATTCCATCAAATCCTCTCCTAGGACTGGTATTTGGCTTCAATAGGGGAAAGATGCAAAGATCATACACAAACAGAAGGCAAAATGGAAATTGACACATAAATCTCAGAAAAAAGGGCAAGGGTTTGTAGAACCATCCCTGCCAGGGAGTTGATAGAAAACACAGAATAAAAAAAAAAAATTGTTTTTCAAAAAGAGTGCAATGAGCTAGTCACGAGATGACAGATATGGTATGATTCGATTTCTATGAAGTACCTAGAGCCGTCCAATCCACAGAGAACGGTGGCTGTCCAGGGCCGGGGCCAGAAGTGAATAAGAATTAGTCCTTAATGGGTACAGTCTCAGTTTCGGGAAATAAAAAAGTCTGGACAAGGACGGTTGGCGGTGGCACAACAGTGTGAATGTACTGGACTGAGCCATACACTAAAAAACGGTTGGTAGGGGCGCCTGGGTGGCGCAGTCGGTTAAGCGTCCGACTTCAGCCAGGTCACGATCTCGCGGTCCGTGAGTTCGAGCCCCGCGTCAGGCTCTGGGCTGATGGCTCGGAGCCTGGAGCCTGTTTCCGATTCTGTGTCTCCCTCTCTCTCTGCCCCTCCCCCGTTCATGCTCTGTCTCTCTCTGTCCCAAAAATAAATAAACGTTGAAAAAAAAAAAAATTAAAAAAAAAAAAAAAAAACGGTTGGTAAATTTTGTTACTTATATTTTACCACACTAAAAAAATAATAAGAATTAGAAGTGGAAAGGATGCATTCTTCCCTAGCTTAATACTCCTAAAAAGAGAAGATTTCAAACATTATCCAAGTATTTCAATGGGTCATTTGCAAACTACTTGAAGACAGGGCAAGTATTGTATCAGTCCAACTCGACTGAAAGACAAACTTCAGAAAAAGAAATCTCCCCTTGGCATGTTCCATCTGGTGACCTCCAAGAAGGTGAGGCAGATCCGTGGCATGACCACTACAGAGCAAATAGGTCTGAATCCACGGTCCACCGACAGCCATCCCTGGCGTTACCGTACAAACTGAGAAACCGCATTTGGATGTTCTTTGGGGTGACCTACTTAAGAGCTGAGGGCCGTGGACGTAAAGGAAATGACGGGTTTGCTCAAAAGAGCACAGTTTCCTCCTTCACTCTCAGCCTGTCTTGCTCGCAGGGCAGATCCCTGCCCCACTACCTTAGCTCGTTTTACAACTGAGAGGAAAGGGGCAGAAGGAAGCAGAAACCTAACACTTAAATAGCATCTACAACATAACCTGGCACTGTGCACACTTAGGAACATCCTGGAATTAGTGTCCCCAGAATGACACACAGTAGACATTATACTCACTTTACAAAGACACTGAGGCTCACAAGTTAAGTGTTTCGTACAAGGTCTTACCACTGTTAAGGGGCACGGCCAGGATTCTGAATCAGTTCTGCATTTCTCCAAAGGTCCTATTCATTCTCTAACCCCAAGATTCCTGCTTTACACTCTTTGCTAACTCACCTCCCATGGGCCATGTTCGCAACACACAGAGAGGAGATTCAAATTTAAATTCTTTCTAAATAAATAAACTTTAAAAAAAGGCGGGG